CGATACATCGATACAGCAGCCCACGATATCAGTACTGTATCATCACATTAAGCGATACGATATATCAATATTTCAATATTTTTGCACACCCCTAACATGTACGGACCCCTGTTTGTCCCCGGACACAGACGTTTGGTCCCCCTACGCTACGCACAACAACCTACATTCGGTTTGTCAATTAAACTGACTAATCATGCCCATCCCTACTCTTGTGAGCTTTTAGCCATGTTGTTACCTCATCAAAACCATACATGAAGTTGTGTTTTGTTTCATTCACGCGTGTTTGACTAACCATTTTTATTAGGCTGTTTACATCTCAAAAGCTCAAAATGATCCTGGTGATGAACTCCTGGTGTGTTTTTGAGGATTATAACAGATCAGAAAATCATATGGGCCCCTCAAAGTGCTTTATTTACTATCCTGTCCAGTCTAGTGGTGATATGTGAGAAAACAACAAGGGCGAGTCTGTCAGTCTAATTACATGTGTGGCAAGACTGGTGTTCCGGTTCTTCGTGGGATCATGTCAAGATGTGATTTGTTTACACTGGTGTTGAATCCGTGTATCATTCGTTCATTTGTTTTTCAATATAAAACCAAAAGTAAGAAAATGAAAAAACATCAGTTTTCTTCATTATTTGTCTCCAAAACCAAAATGAAAAAACGGATAACGATTCGTTTTTTCAGTTTTCGATTTTGTGTTTAAATGAAGAATGGAAAAAACGGATAATGGCCGTTTCCCGTTTACGTGACTTCTGTGACTGCGATGCCGGACTTTTGCTCCACATACAGACTAAACCAGGACTGATCCAAGTCCGGGACCAGAGCGGGACCAGACCGGGACTGAGACCGAGACCAGACCGGGACCAGGGCAGACTCCGAGCTTTGACTCTGAGGCTCCACGGGGTCCGAGCCTCAGCTTCAAGCTCCGGCCCTGCCGTGGGCTCTGAGCCTCCGGTCTCGCACCAAACGATCCAACGGACAGCAGATCCAACGAACTATTGCAGCCAGCGGGAGCAGCTCCTGTTCAGGCCGGGCTCAGATGAGCTGGAGTGGGGAGTGATGTCAGGAGCCTCGGCCTGAGAAGTGCTTTACCCGGGGAAGAACCAAATGGGCGGAGGACCAATGGTCAAAACTATAACCAACCAAACTGGATTCACGCTCCTGTCCGGTTGCTTTGCACCACCTCGGAACCAGCTGTGGTTCTTCAACGCAGAGGACAGGAGCAGCCCGTCCGAACCTGTAGTCCACAGCGCATTCTCGCTTTCCCCGTACGGAACCAGCGCAAAGGATGTCACGGAACTGCTCGGACCGCTGGTCTCGGTCTTAGTCCCACTCTGGTCCCGCTCTGGTTCCGGTCTCAGTTCCGGTCTGGTTCCGATCTGGTCCCGGACTTGGATCAGTCCTGGTTCAGTCCAGGTTCAGTCCGTATGCAGCGCAAAAGTCCGGCATCGCAGTAACGGAAGTCACGTAAACGGGAAACGGCCGTTATCCGTTTTTTCCATTCTTCATTTTAACACAAAATCGAAAACTGAAAAAACGAATCGTTATCTGTTTTTTCATTTTGGTTTTGGAGACAAATAATGAAGAAAACAGTTGTTTTTTCGTTTTCTTATTTTTGGTTTTGTATTGAAAAACGAATGAACGAAGGATACACGGATTATGTTTACATATTTGCGCCACCCTTTGGCCACATTAGGCACATTCACGCCAAGATGTTGTATCATTTGTATCTGACGTACTGTTTCATTTGCAGATTCGACAAGAACAATGCCGACTCCAGTCAAACTTGTCTAACATGACTTCGATTAATACACGGCTCCAGAATAAAGTAAATCAATGCTTGCAGTTGTGCATATGACTAGAAGTCGTTTGATGTCCTTGGTACGTTAGATACAAATGATAGAACATCTTGGAGCGCATGTGCCTAATGTGGCCTGAGGGTGGCGCAAATATGTAAACACCAGTGTAAATAAATCACATCTTGACATGATCCCACGAAGAACCGGAACAACGACTTTGAGGGTCTGGGCTGCAGGTGCTCTTACCTGTCATTCGGTGGCGCTGAGCTGGTGATCTATTTAAGCGCTTTCCCTTCTCTGTCATTTCTCCCTTTTGCCCTCACGCTCTTCTGGGCCTCTCCTCGTGGCCGCTCTGTCCTTCAGCTCTGGTAAATACCAATCCCTAAGCTCCCATGCACGTTAGGTCCAATCGTTATATAATTCTTTTGACTTTTAGTGCCGGTGCTCGGTGCCGCACGTGTCCCTTGCTCCATAGCAGGTAGTGTGCGCTTTCAGCTCTTCTGAGAGGTAATGCACCCCAGATACTCCTCCATTCATTCATCCATGCCCAAATTCTTACCGGAGTCTTTGCTTCGTTCCACGGGTGAGCCCAGTGAGTCTCTCGCTCCCCTAAACCGTGGCGGCAGGTAACCAAAACCCTACTACAAAGTAATACCTGTGCCAACCAACTTTGATTCAGTCTGAGATATGTTCTTTAGCCCAGAATCTTGTACTGCAGACTCAGATTATAATTCGCAAAATGTACTTTTTAGGTGTCAGCGGTGGCCTACAGCGGCGTGAGTTGTTTTATTCCTGTTTTGTTTTGCTGCTGTTTTTTTTGTTGTTGCTCTTTTTGTTTTCACTGTTCTTACTCTTTTGCTCTTTTTGCATGTTTCACCCTGTTTGCAGCTGTTGGTCTGTTCTCATATCCCCATTTTGCACATCTGGTGTCTGTTTGGTATGTCCCCCACTGTCTTGTTTTACTGTCTTGCCTATTTTTATTAATCACTGTAGCTACTTCTAAGGAATTTAAACTTGTGTTTTAAAATAGAAAAATAAAGATTGTGTAAATGATGGAACCTGCTCTCTCACTCTTTGATATGCTTATCTGTGTGCCTCACATTTAGACTCTATTTCCCCAAACTAGACTTGGGGTGGCATTTTTGCAACAATTTATCACAAAATTTATAACACTCAATTGTTAACCCCTCGTTGCTGCCACACATGGTAGCTTGAATTAAACCTGCTCTTGAGTATCTTTGCTTTGACATCTCTTGTTTTATAACTTAAAATAATGACCATGTATAAAACCAGACATTATTTTCCTGCTCATATGGTTTAAGGCTCCATCTACTGGTAACAGAGGGAATTACCATGGGTGAAAATTGTGTTTTCTAATTAAGGAGCATGGTTTGATGGCACAATTGCTTTGAACAAGATTGGAAATGATTTATGTTTTTAATCAGTAACTTTAATTTAAGTGGGTTCATTCAATTTAGTTCACTTTGGTCTTATTCAAAGGGACCTCGGAGCGTTTTCATTAGTTAGTTGTATTAGATGCACGCTCCACACTGGATATTTACTACACCATATTTATTTGGAAATTATGAGGTAGAGGATGTTGGCAGAGTTTGGTTCATGTTTTCAGTTTGACACACAAAACATGAGTTCTGTTTGGACACTTGAAGGATTAATCGTGCCAGACCTCGTTGGAAGGTAGTGCCAGAAGTGGTCCGTTTGAAACCCCTAAACAGGACGGACACTTTACAACCAGGGGTCTTCAGCCTGGGGGCTCTCCACCCCCTTCTAAGTATCTCTCCAAAGGATTTCACTTATTAACTAAAATCCGATTAATTACAATAGTAAATGTATAATTTTGATTCCTAACTTAGAGATAGATAATGGTTTATAGGGATGTGACAATATTCGAAATAATAAAAAAAATATATATTGTATCGTCAAAAGTCTCACAGTAATATCGTTGGCTTATTATCAACCTTTTGAGCTTTTAAACATGTTCTACTGCAGGGCTCTCCAACCTGTACCTCTGGAGCCCCCTTCTAAGTAGCTCCACAAAGGATTTCTGAATTATTTGTATTGCACTTATTAACTAAAATCTGATTAATTACCATTGCAAATGTATCATTTTGATTCCTAATTTAAATGGATAAATAGATAATGGTTTATAGGGATGTAACAATAAATGAAATATCGTAATATTGTACCGTCAAAAGTCTCATCATAATATCGTGGGCTCTCACAATATATTGAATCACAAGTTCCTTTGCTTAAATGCATGGTTTTATAGTAGCAACAGCTTATAAACATAGGGAACTACATCTCCCATGATTCATTTCAGTGCAGACGACATGAAGAAACATGTTTTTTACTTTAATTCTTGCAATTATGATGGAAATAATTCACATCAAACTCTTGTCATGGTATTTTATATCTATAATTATATTGGCCTCTTCAAAATATCATAATAAATATGGTACCGTGAGATGCATCTCATGATAATATTGTACCAAGAGATTTGGATATTGTTACATCCCTTGCTGTCTAAAGCTTGCCATAGCTCTTCAACTTTCTTAGTTTCTTTCAACTGCTAAAATGAGTAGCTCCCTGGCATTTTCATTTCATAAAGGTTGTTCACCAGAGGAAAAAGGCTGGAGACACCTGCTCTATACAGTGGAAACACTGCTAAACTTACAGAGAGTGTCTTATGCAAAATCAACTCTTTGGAGCTTTTCTACCATGTTATAACATTCTTAGTAGTAAGACTCCAACAGCACCTGTACTCCTGCACAACAATTCTTCATACATATACAAACGTGGGATACAAAACAATATTCTACAATTCCACAAACTTGATGTGATGTGTAGGAGGCCTACTTTCATTGGCAGAATGTACGTTCTGAAGGGGAATGACTTGGTGCAGAGAGCAAAAGTTGAGGGGAGTCGGTGCGTCGAGCGAAAAAAAAAAAAATCTGACACTTATTTAACATGTTCATAATTTATTTTCAGCAAATATAGCATTTTAAAAACAAAAGTGTGATACACAGTAATGTGTTTTCACATTGTTTTATTTTTGTATGTATTGGTAATAAGTTATTGCTTAAATTAAAATTAAATTGAGTAATAACTTTATTTAACCTGTAATTACACCCTCACGCCAGTAGGTAACGTATGACTCCTCGAGAAAGTATTGTGAGGTCAGAGGTCGTCCTCTCCAATATGGCAGAAACGAGGCAAAGAGAAACTTCACGGTTGTTTGTCTCTTTCTTTCCCTGTGTTTTACAGGTCAGTATTGAAGTAAAACCCACATTATATTGGTCATAAACAATAAGTAACAAGCACAAGTTGTGAAAGTATATATCAGTCGCTAAATACTGTGTTTTTGTCAAGTTTGAGCCATGTGAAAAGACAGGTAAAGGCGAGGCTACAGTGCCATTTTGAGTTTATTACGCATTTATTTTATAAAGTGCTCCAACACTGTTTTGATTGTAAAAGTGTAAAGCATAAGTTCAGAAGTAAAAGTTAAAAAGGGTCTCAAGCTGAAGCTAAAAGCCAGTCAGTAGTACACGGTTACTGCCGTGCTATTCATGAGCTGTGAAGGTGGAGGTGGTTATACATTAAAAATGGTATATAAAAAGCGAGTGTAGAAATTAATACGTGTATTTTGGTTAAAATGTAAGAATTAAACAGCAATAGCAAATGGAAATGTTTACTGTACATGATCTTAAACAGGATTTTGATGTTTTTGATGAGAATTTATTACATAATTGTGAATTGTAAACCAAGAACGGTGGTAAAAGCTGAATATTGAAATGAAATACATGATTGTATAAATACATATGGCAGAAGCGAGACAAAGAGAAACTTCACGGTTGCCTGTTTCATTCTTTCCCTGTGTTTTACAGGAAACTTTTAATCTGCCCAACAGGGTCTGTTACAAAAGGTAACATGGAGATCTCCATATGTTAAGTGTTAGTGTTATCTATTGTCTTAATATGCTTTAGAAACACCAACTAATACCCGAATAACCACTAACTAACATGTAAATTACCATGTAGTTACTGATAAAAAATGGTCTCTAAAATGTAACAAAAATGTATTGGTTGACAAAACACTAGGGCTTATATTACACCTTTTTTCAGTTCAAGTTTATTTATATAGCACATTTAAAACAACTTCAGCTGACCAAAGTGCTTCACATACAAGTCAACAAAATAGAAGAAACAGTTACAAATACATATATACAGAAAACATGTGAAAACTACAATAAATATACCAAGATAACCTGACTAGCTAGTACTAAATGCCAGGGAGACAAAATGAGTTTTCAGTCTAATCTTAAACTGCGTTACAGACTGAGAGGATCTGACAGGAAGAGGAAGGTTGTTCCACAGTCTTGGCGCTGCCACAGAAAAAGCCTCTGTCTCCTCTCGTCTTGAGCCTAGTTTTGGGCACGACCAACAGGAGCTGGTCAGCTGATCTCAGGGCTCTGGGTGGAGTATAGGGCTGCAGTAACTCCCTCAAATAGACTGGACCCATAGAGTGTAAACATTTGAAAACAATTTATAGCATTTTAAATTGCACCCTATTACACACAGAGAAGGTGTGATCTGTTCACGTTTCTTAGAATGTGTCAGCAGACGAGCTGCAGCGTTCTGGACGTGTTGTAAGCGCTGCAGGGAGCCCTGGTCTAACCCTACATACAAAGAATTGCAATAGTCCAGGCGTGATGTTATGAATGCATGGATCGCTCTTTCGAACTCTGCCTGTGGGAGGTAGGGCTTTGCTTTAGTGAGGAGTCTCAACTGAAAGAAGCTGGACTTTTCTTTTCTTATAAAGCTGCTTCTTCATCAAAAACATACCTGGTGTTGTGTTTTGTTTCATTACTACTGAACTAAAAGGTAAAAAGTAACTGTTCACACTTGAACTACTGCTACATGACATCACAAGGTGGAACAGAGCATTTTGAGCTTTGGAGATGTAAACAGACTAATAAAGCAGGCTCACCCAAACATGTGTGAATGAAACAAAACAACTCTAGGTATGTTTTTTGAGGAGGTAACAACATTCTAACATGACTTAAAGCTCAGAAGAGTCAATTTTGTGTAATATATCACCTTTAACGTCAAGTCTTTTCACATCTTTCTTTTACAGTAAAAACTCTGGCTCTTTTTGTTGGAAGTGACACCTCCAGCCCGGCCCCTCCACGCGGTGCCAAGTAGGTCACTCACTCACTGCAGCTCTCAGTTCCAAAGTACGGCGGTTACAAAACTCTCCCCAGATAAACTTCTCAGATATGGACTAGAAAAGCAGGCTGCACCACTACTCCCATTCATACCCGACATGACAGCTGAAATCTGGGACGTTATTGTAGTGGGAGCTGGGCTGTCCGGCCTGTCTGCTGCTCATGTGCTCCGAAAGAGAAATTCCAAGCTGAAAATCCTGGTTCTGGAAGGCAAAGGTAGAAGTTGGTATTTTGAAGTTGACGTGAGTGAGGATTTTGAGTTCATGTAAGGTGAAATGTTGTGTTTGTATGTTGTTGTAGATCGAGTGGGCGGGCGCACGGTAACATGTGAGATACCAGCAGCCAGTGGGAAGGACCGCTGGGATTTCGGAGGACAATGGGTTGGGAGGTAATGTGGACTTTGTTTTACATACAGTGTTGGGGAGTAACAGATTACATGTACCGGAGTTACGTAATCAGAGTACATATTATGAGTAACTGTATTCAGTTACAGTTACAGTTTCAGTGAGTGGTAATTGGATTACAGTTACTTTGTTGAAATAAATGGATTAAATGGCGATATTTTCCTATTTTCACATTTTGGGCTATATCCCTTTTTTTTTTTTTTTTTTTTTCCTAGTAATTCCACTCATTCCTGGAAACTAAACCAAGTCTAAACTAGATCTCAACCAGGTCTAAACCAGGTCTAAACCCAGGACTAAAATCAGGTCTAAACCAGGTTTATAACCAGGACTAAACCTGGACTAAACCAGGACTGAACCAGGACTAAATCAGAACTAAAACAGGACTAAAAACAGGTCTAAGTCAGGTCTAAACCAGGTCTAAACCAGGTCTAAACCAGGACTAAAACAGGACTAAAACAGGACTAAATGCAGGTCTAAACTAGATCTAAACTAGGTCTAAACCAGGTCTAAAGCCACGACTAAACCAGGACTAAAACAGGATTTAACAGGACTAAACCATGCTGGGCGGACCTGTCTCCTCATCTTCTATCAATAATATTTTTAATACGGTTAAGGAAAGTCTGGGCTTTTTATTTTCTTTTAACAGACAAAACATCTTATGTTACGATATCCTCATCTTTGCTTCTCTACAGCAAATCAAGTAATCCAAAGTATTCAGATTACGTTACTCACTTTAAGTAATTTAATGGATTCCGTTACAAACTACATTTTGAGGTATGTAATTTGTAATCTGTAGGGGAATACATTTTAAAAGTAACCTTCCCAACACTGTACATAAATAGTAGTTTGGAAAAAATATATACAGTATGACTAAAGTTAAAGGGATCGTCCAGAATTTTGGACATAGGGCCTCATTTCCTAGTGAGCCAGAGTGTTGGAGACGTGTGGAGACACTTTTTAAAATATTCCATCCAGTCCTTGTATTTTCAGAGGTCACTGGTGCTAGGCTAGTGCATGTCAATGGCCATAGTTATCCTGCCACTAAAAACAGCCTTGTCCACTCCACAAAACACCCGAAGCAAATCTGTTATTACACCAGACTGTCCATGTAAATGTCTGTGTTGATAAAATAATTTTAGAAGTAAAGCCAGCCTTGCATTTGAAGGATTTATGTCTGAGCAGCAGCAGTGAGTTGTACTTCCTGATAGAAAGCTTGACAGCGGCGGACTGATACATGAGAAAATAGTCCAAGAACATGCAACGATTCAGGCGATGCAAGGTTAGTTTTATTTCAAACATTATTCTATGAACACAGACATTTACATCGACAAGGACTGGAGGAAATATTTTTAAAAAGTGTCTGCACACGTCTCCAATACTCTGGCTCACTAAGAAATGAGGTCCGATGTCCAAAGTTCCGGAATGTCCCTTTAAAGGTGTATGGGGCTTTTACAGTGGAGTTGTCTTGCTTGTTTCCATGGAGATGTTATAGCTTTGCCTGTTTAATGCCGCCGTCACTGGTCACAGGTCAGGCAGGTCACATGATCAGGTCAAGCTACAGGTCATGTTATATCAGTGGTGGAAGAAGCACTCAATTTTATGATTTAAGTAAAAGTGCAGATACCAAAGCAAAGAAATATTAAAGTGCTTGTTTAAAAAAGGTTTGTGCAGATTTTGAGGTCACATAAAGCTTCAACTGTAGTGATTTGTACAGAATTTTGTTCAACAGAAATAACTGAATGTACTGTTTTTCTAGCTGTTTTAATTTGTATATTTTTATTTGCTCAAAACTACAAATATGTTAAATAAACCCATCAGCCTTTTCACCAGGTCTCAAACTATCATAAAAAATGCTTTTTACTTTTCAGTCCTTTTCAAAAAAGTGATGGAGTAGAAAAATATCTGCTCTCAAGTGTAATAAAAGTAAAAAGTATCCACTTTAAAATGCACTTAAACCTTTTAAAGCTCAAAACACACTAATACTGAATGTAAACTTATACATAGTAGTGATAGTTGCATAGTGGACCTTTAAAGAACACTATTCATTATTATCAACTTTTTGAGCTTTTAAACATGTTCTACTGCAGGGCTCTCCAACCTGTAGCTCCACCCCCAGCTTCTAAGTAGCTCCACCCCCTTCTATGGAGCTCACCAAGGGATTTCTGAATTATATGTATTGCACTTATTAACTAAAATCTGATTAATTACCATCGTAAATGTATTTTGTATTTTGATTCCTAATTTAAATAGATAAATAGATCATGGTTTATAGGGATGTAACAATAAATGAAATATCGTAATATTGTATCGTCAAAAGTCTCATAATAATATCGTGGGCTGTCACAATATTTCGAATCACAAGTTCCTTTGCTTAAATGCATGGTTACATAGTAGCAACAGCTTAAAAACATAGGGAACTACATATCCCATGATTCATTTCAGTGTAGACAAGAAGAGATATGTTTTTTACTTGAATTCTTGGGAGTAAAATGGAAATAATTCACACCAAAATCTTGTGAAGGTATTTTAAAAGCAAAAAAAGTGTCCTGTCTTTAATTATATTAGCCCCTTCAAAATATCGCAATAAATATCGTACCGTGAGATGTATATCGTGATAATATTGTACCGAGAGATTTGGATATTGTTACATCTCTAATGGTTTATGTTTAATAGGCATCTAACTGTTCGCCAGTTAAAATTTGCCTTAGCTCTTCTACTTTCTCAATTTCTTGCAACTGCTAAAACGAGGAGCTCCCTGGTGTTTTGGTTTCATAAAGGTTGCTCACCAAATAAAAAAGGCTGGAGACCCCTGTTCTACTGTTTCCCCTGCCCTAAAACATACCTGGAGTTGTATTTTTCCTTCATTCATGCTTCATGTTTCATTCATGGGCACTCAGGAATGCCTCTTTCACATTTCGCCCGTATTGTTGCATCATAGATAAAACACCAGACTTCTCCTGCATTTTTAAATCTATAAACCATCATCATCAAACTCATTCTGTGTTCAAATTGTGTTTGCAACAAATGCTTGGCTCTATTAGCACAGCATTTGTAAGTTATTCTGACTTCAATTGTTTAGTACATAAGTAGGTTTATAAAGTATTTTCCAAATTCAGAAATTATTTTAAGTTAGAAAATGTGAAATACGGGACTTCCGGGTAGGCAGCGAGACATGGCGGCGGTCTAAGCGTATACTCCCGACCCTTAATTTAAAACAGCCCGTTAAAACTCGAGTTTATCACAACTGTTAACGAGAGCATTAATCTGAGACTAAGGGTTGACAAAAATGCCTAAAACTAAAGGGAAAAAGCTTGAGGTTTCTGAAGAAGAAGCAGTTAGCCAAACAGCATTTGCTAGCAGTAATGATGGAGAAGACATGCTAGCGGGGAACGCCGAACATGAAGAAAGCGAAAGCGCCAACTTGACCCTCATCCTGAAAGAATTGAGAGATTTTAGAAGAGACAACACCCAACAACTGAACAAAATCCACGAAGACATCAATAATGCCAACAAGAGAATTGAGCAGGCGGAGGAGAGGATTGCCGCGGCTGAGACCCGAATACAAACGTCCGAGGATGCGGTGACGGAGCTGCTTAAGCTCCACGTTCAGCTCAGTGCCAAAATGGTGGACTTGGAGAGCCGCTCAAGATGACAAAACATTCGCATATACGGAGTAAAGGAAGGTCTTGAAGATGACGCCCCATCAATGAACGTGTTTTTGGAGCGTTTGCTACGAGAGAACCTGTCGGTGCCAGCAACAGTAGAGGTGAGAGTGGAGCGCGCTCACCGCGCTACGGTGCCTCGTCCACCCCCGGACGCACCTCCGAGATCAATCGTAGCTAAATTCTCAAGTTACAGGGTGAAAGAAGAGATTCTGAGATTGGCCTGGCAGAAACGGGGCTTCCATCTGAGTGGTAGAGCAGTGAATCTAGACCACGACTATGCGCCAGATGTCCTGCAGAAGCGCAAGGCATATGCGGAGGCGAAAGCAGTCTTGAAGGAAAAAAGATACGTTTCCAAACCCCGTTCCCGGCGAAGTTAAGAGTGCATTACGAGGGAGGCCCGGTGCTGTACGGTTCGGCGGAGGAAGCGACGAGGGACATGGCCAAGAGAGGATTCCCCGTTACCGCTTTGACTACTCCGAGCCCGACGACGCTGCTGGAGCAGATTCGGCATCTAACTTGGAGCGCGGTAAAGACCAGGAGCAGGGCAGACAGATCCACAGTGCCCAGCTACCAAGAAAAACTTCAAGTATTTAGACGACAGGAGAAAGACTGAGCATGATAGACAAACGCGCTGGTGAGTTCCACGTTAATCCAAGAATAAAAGATGTTCATTAAAAGCTTTTGGGGATAAAATAACTATGGAGGCTAACAATAAAAGAACTTTAGGCCTATATAAAAGAATGGTCGGGGGAGATAGTATAGTAGGTAGCGTGACGGACAACGTTACAGCAGTAGGCCCTCTCCCTCCAAGGAGGAGACGAGGCTCACCCTCTAAACCCTCTTTCAATCTGGGTCTCTACAGGATCATTTCCAAGATCCCACATTTGGAGGTCAACTGTTATAGTTTAATGTGTTTTTTTGTTCAAGCCAGTTCATGGGCTTATTTGTGTGCGTTATGGGGTGTTGCCTTGATGATGTATGTAAAATTGTTAGCTAAATTTACAGATGCAAACACTTAAAGTTGTGACTTATAATGTGAATGGGTTACTCAGTCCAGTCAAAAGAAGCAAGATATTAACAAAATTAAAGAGAGAAAAAATTGAGATTGCATTCATGCAGGAGACCCATCTCTCTGAAGCAGAGCATGCTAAACTATCTAGAATGGGTTTTAAATATCAATACTCCTCGTCCTACCCAGCGGGACACAGGAGGGGGGTGTCAATTTTAATATCCAGTAAAATTACTTTTGAACCACTTTTTGAGAAGAAAGATAAGGCAGGTAGATATGTTCTTGTTAGAGGAAGGATGGGGGGGTCACT